GAGATTGCATTGGGAGTGATTCATCAAAATCTTTTGTGGATTTCCACCAAAAACATCAATGACAGTGGCCCTATTTAACATCCCACTAAATCAGTTTTATTAGACCAGGATGAGCACAGTGGGCCTCAGCTCACATGTTCTCCAGCATGGCTGTGAAGCATTTATTGATCACAGTTTAGTGTCTGTCCTGAGCTCTATTAGGTGGTTAAATAAAATTAGAAGCAGAAATTTTAAATTCCTCTTTATGACTTGTCAAGGGGAAAGGGGGAAATATCAGGGGTCCATGGCTCACTATAGCTTGATCCCAATACTCCTTTGTTTTAGCAGGACATATGATCCGAATACTTTCTGAAGATGGAAAATTATCATCCTAATCCAATTATGTTGGAATTTCAAAAATCTAGCTCATTTTTCATTTCTAGCCAAATGCAGAATTGGCAGCTTGGTCCATGACAGAACTTTTACACAATAATTCCACTCCTTCTTATTTCTACCAACAGTGAAGTGACAAAGAATCACCACAAACTGAAATAGGAATTAATGTTATGGAAAAGGCTGTATGCATTGTTGCAGAAAAGTAATTTCAACAACCACAACAACTTCATATTCTTTGCTTTTTTACTTTTGGTTTATGATTCTTATTACTATTATGACTTAAGTGCAATTCAAGCTTTGGGATCAGAGCCAGAAAAACCTAATGTATACCATGTCATCTCAACCTCAACCTGTAATAACAGGGCAAAAATCAGAAGAACCCAGTGGCTGTTTACCTCTGCTGAATTTTAAAAAAACAGCAATTCATATCCACTCATCAAAAAAATGGAAGTAGAAGAAAATATTATGGTCATGTTCATTTGTTTTTTGATTACAAAATATATGTAAATTAAGAACAGCCATCAAGCTCTGGAGCAATGCCAGAACAGTTATTAGTGTCATAAAATTCAAGGAAGGTGATAACAGGGCATTGTGCGCCTGCAAGAAAAAGTCAAGCAGCTGCCATCAAGCCCATCTGGAACAGGAAGCCATGCCCATGCCAGAGGGTCAGGTGGAAGATAGGTCCTGGCTACAATAACCTGGCTCCTTCTTTTCCTTTAATGGAGCACAGAGAAATCTGTTCACTCCATAGTCAAAAGTGTGATAATTATAGAGTAACAAGCTCCACTGTTATTCCGGAGGCAGCATCCCCAGGAAATCTTGCTCTGCAATCAAGGAAAGAAGTGCAATCAGGCCCCTATTCAGGCTTTGTTTAGAAACAGCCCCTGTGGGAGGAAGGAGGCTTTGAGATGTTGCTTGTAAAGCAGGTGGTGAGGTTGGCTATATGGTACTGTTACTACCAGAGGAGCTCAATGCAAGTTCTTAGCAAAATTTTCAGTCAGCCCCACCTGAAAAACCCAGGGAAGCCATAGGAAGGATCTATGTTTGATGATCTCCTCAAATTGTTCTAAGTAGTAATCTCTCTTCTGAACAGAGCGAAGGATATCAATGTCATTTTCCATGCTTCATGCCATGTGTAACTTGAGAAGTGCAGGACTGGTCTCCATCAGGGCAAACTAACTGGTGCTCTTCCAATGTTCTGAATTACAATTTCCACACTAGTTACTTGCTAGTTTTGAAATGTAAGGCAACTAGACGACATCAATTTTTCATCTCCTAGTCTAGACAGTGGTTGGAAAATCATAACTTTTGAACTATGTATACATGAAACAGACTTATTAATTTAACGATCGACATTACTACCTCTGTCACTGTGACGGCGCATCTAAGAAAATGCCCTGATATTATATGGCATAATATCTTTGTCACAATTAAACAAGAGTGAGACCTCATCCCAACAGTGCCTAGGTGAATAGCAGTAGGGCTCTAGAAGTACTCTTGCTCCCGTGCTTTTTTTAAATGCATGCCCATCTAGCATGTGTAGCCATCCTGAAAAATTGAGCCCCTGCTGGCATCAGACTAATAGAGTAGGGTAGGAGGGATACAAGGAATTTTTCTATTACAACTCTTTATTCTATAAGGTCTTGGAACATCTCCAGAGGAAACTGAGAATTGAAGAGTTTGTGTTTGATGTCAGTTGTTGTGGGCCCAGCCTTACTTTTAGCCTGAATGATTCAGCTGCCTGAGGCAGCAGATTTTGGATGTCATAAAAAGTTAGCGGTGTTAATTATTTATTTTGTTATTATTTCATTACTACTGCCAGAAATGGAGTTGGTGGATTTTCACTCTCATTTGCCAGAATAATTTTGCCAACTCTGAGTAATCTACGTACCTTGGGTGGGTGACTTTATTTACTGCTATGCCTTAGGCAGCACTATATCTTGGGCCAATCCTGTGTCAGATGCATACTCAGCCAGTAGAAGTTTTTGTGTATGTGTTGAAAACAAAATGCACAAGTCTTCTTGGACTTTGCTTGAATACCCATGATAATGGAATCCTGTGAGCACATTTACAGCACAGATTTAAAAGGTTTAGTATTTCCTCTCCTCAGGGAATGGTAATTTAAGAGGAAAAATGGGAATCTTAACTGGAATTCCAGCATTTTTGCCAACTTCCAGAATTCTTTAACAAAGCTAGGACACTTATATCAGAAGCTTTTAATTTTCCAAGAGTTCTTGGAGTCGAGCTTTTCATTATTTGGAAGTAACATAACATACACAATTTTTCCTTTTGTTTGTTTGCTACCACAATAAGTGCAATTCTTTTGTCAGCTACACCATCATTTAAATCCTCCAAGACATCATGGTATTATTGTTGAATGGGGTAGAAATATTTGAAGAAAAATATTTAGAGAAAAAATTGAAAAGGGTTTTAAAAGAGAAGCTGAGCAAAAAGAGGGGAAATCTCTGGGTATGGAAAGCACTTATTGGGTGATAAAAACTTTACTTCCACTTGCAGCACTAAGATTTGCATTACTTAATAGTAAATACTACCTTCTAATGCTTAATTTTGGACCATCCACTTAAGGAAATAGTTTTTGAAAACAATATCTAAGTTTAAGTGTTAAATTTGCAGATTAACATGCCCTGGTTGCAAAACCTGGCATAGTTGGATAGCTGTTAAGTCATCTGAACCTCACCATTGCCAATCTGTTCTTCAATTTACCATTGCATTAGAGATGACAATGAAAATCAGATCCCCATTTGTTATCTGGATATCCTCTACTATTCCTAACAATTATTCACTTGTCTATATGAACAGGTGATGACAGCACCAAAGGACCTGCAATGCTTGCTGTCATTTTCATTTCTGTATAGTAATGGAAGTGATAGAAGCAGGGAGGGATTTAGAAATTACTAAATCCAGGAAAAATCTTCCAAAGAGCTTTCTAAGTTTACATGGTGTATAATATCAAGTACTGTGTACAAGCTATTTCCAAAATCCATGCATCTGTGTTGTTTCTTGTAGAATTTTACCAAGTATTTCTATAAAAGATTTAATTATGCACTTTATGCATAATGGAACTGCATTTTGCCTTAATGAATCTGTGATACTGTAAATGGAATATGTAACTTTAGTATTGGTGGGACTGGCTAAGTATTCACTTATATATCCTTTCCTTGTCCACAGAATAAATGAGCTTCTTGTAGTTTTGCCATCCAGAGACACAGGAATCAATCAATAGTTGAGTAATGGCTTGAATTCATTTGAGAGAATTATGCACTGCATTTAGCTATTAAAACAGGAACTATTGATTGAGTCCTATCAACTCCCAGCAAAAACCAGAAATCCAAGAAATAAGAAATGGTGTGAAACTATTTAATGCCTCAAGTGTCAAGGAGTGGTTGGAAAGGAGAGGCATTCCTGCTTCTCTTGCTCAAAAGAGGATACTTCTTGGCACACCAAAATCTGAATGAGTGATTCAACAGAAGACAAGAGGAACAGAAGACAAGTTGCTAAAATTATCTGAATTAATTCATTTCTAATTGAGTTGAACTACAACTACCATAATTCTCAGTCAGTCTTGGAACTGTTTAAGCATCTGTTAAATCCAGATCAATCAGATCAATTGATCTGTTAAATCCAGATCAATCAAGTTGGGGAACTCTACAAAAGGAATTCAGAATCATCTCGCAATACAGTCATTTATTGGTAGAACTCAAACTTGATTTGGCTTCTCCCACTTGATACCTTCTGTAGCATTTATTTTGTGTACAGTGGAGGTGAATTCTTGTTCTTGTTCTTGAGCAACCTGCAGCAAAGCCGAAGTGGGGATATATCCATGATTCATAACTAGATTAGACTTCTGAAGGACTTAACTTACCCTGGAAATTACATAGGAGAAAACTTGGGGAGATAAGTGAAAAGAAAGAAAGCATTTTAATCAGACAATGAAACAGTTGAATACTAACAGCAAACAAGAGCAAATTACACAGCAAATTAAATTTATGTTTTCAATGTTTGTTTTATACATTTACAAAGATTCTCACCCAGTCCAAGACAATATAGTCATTCTTCCATCTTCAACCTGGTTTGAACAGTTAAAAACAACTCAAAAACGTTACTCAAAAACATTGTGGCAGAATTATGGCAGAATTTCAGCTAAATATTTATGATCTAAATGCTCTTAATGAATACACATCATAGTTACTCTTTTTTATTTCTCTGTCATGTAAGGCATTCAAAGAGTCTCTGGCCTTTGCTTTAACCACTATAACTTATTTTAGACAGAGGAAGATATTAAGATGAGCTGCTTATGTCATTAATTAACACTTTGTCCCATTTTTCATTTTCAGTGAAGACAATGACTATTTTTTCCAAGATGATATGTGTCTAAAGCAATCTTTGACCAAACCAGAGCATACAGGAAATGTTTAATGACCAAGCTAAAAATTTACAGCAAATATTGTGAAAATAGATTCAGAACCATGATTTATGAAATGGCATGCTGAACTAGCATAATATATTCTTCTTTTTATTTCAAAGATGATTAAGCTGAAATGACTAGACAAATGTGGCCAATCAGATATTTTTGTACAAAAAAAACCCTCAGGAAGAAGTCTTACCTTCAGAACAGAGTTTCCCAATGTATCCAGTGGCTGAGCAATCACACTGTGGTTCACCATCCAGAAGAAAGCAAGTTCCACCATTTTCACAAGGATTCTCTGTACACAACCCTTCCATGTCCAGGCGGACTCCTTGGTGTCCCAGAAGCTGAGGTTCTGAATTGCCGTATTTCAGGTCCATGATAAATCCTTTAAATGATGGCTCACCCAGGACACTCTCAAGGGTTAAGGCTGCAGGACGGATATCTGATGGGACACCTCCCAAAAAGAGGTCACTAACAATATTCATATATTGACGTTGTGGACGCACCTCACCAGGTTTGGCTTCACCATCAAGAACCAGAACTGTCCGGAGATGGTTGCGACTAACCATCAAAAAATGTAAATTGCTGTCATTGACTTGCTTTTCTGTAACAATTGTAGCTTCAGCACAGTCTACACTGAACCGCAGCTGAATGCGTCCATCCATCAGGGATAAACAGAGAAAGTCGCAGACACCACCATCATCAAAGTAGAGAAGGAGCCCAGCTGAGATGTTTGTCTTCAATTGGAAGCTTAGGTCACTTCTTGTGCTTGCATCCCAGCGGAGGTAACGAGCCCACTGATTTGGAAGGCCCATAAACTCAAGGCCAAGACAGAGGCTGAGAAAGGTTCCCAACAATAAGGTCACCTTCAAGGTGAAAGAGGCAGAGTGGAGTGAAAAGTCCATTTTTGAAAGTAGTGCTTATTTTCTCCTTTGGGAAAACAAAAAATATTAAAGCCACCTGCACGAAAGAGAATGGCTCTTTAACAGTCACTGAAGCCAGTAAATTCCACAAGAGAAAAAACTCTAAATTGGAGAGGTAAGATCTTACCTGCCCTAAGAATAGAGAGACCTTTATCCAAGAAGGAGAGAAAATATTATGAAGATTTTCCAGGAGAAGCAATTTTGTAAGGGTTAGATTTCCACTTGTGGCCTTGTATTGCTGACCCTAGATTCTTTCAGTGAAAGGTAGAAGCAGTAGACAGCCTCCAAACTACAGCTTCTTAAAAGTGGTGATGGCACCAAAACATGGATAGCAGCAACCTCATCCAGTCAGAGACTCCATGGATAGAAATGTTGAAGTCTATCTGCATTGTGTCTAGAAGATGACCCTATCCCCAATTCCTCACTTGTTGGCAATTGGATCCTAAAGAAAAAATGGGAGAAAAATACATTAGCTTTACTCATCACAAATGTATTCATCTCATCATCAAAACATTTTACAGGGTTGACTAGAAGACATATATTTGTCCAACTGCTGTTAATGTGTATTTCCAGTTCCAGAGAAATATTCAATGTACACATAAAGCTGTATCATTTATCTATTAAAAATGTAATTCTAACTAACAGAAACATATTGCAACTGATACAAAACAAAAACAAAGGATGAAAACCTAATCACAGCAAGCCTAAGATATGTTACAAATTAGATTGGGAGTCATAGACAGGTCTATGAACAGAACAACCAGACACAAGAATAGTTTTTTCCCGAATGCCATCACTCTGCTAAACAAATAATTCCCTTAACACTGTCAAACTATTTACTAAGCCTGCATTACTATTACTATTCATCTTCTTATCCTTCCTTCCACCCATCTCCTCCCACTTATGACTGCATAAATGTAACTTTGTTGCCTGTATCGTTATGATTTTTGACTGCTTATTTGTACTCTTTGACTACTATTAAGTATTATACCTATGATTCTTGACGAATGTATTTTTTTTTCTTTTTCTGAACACTGAGAGCATTTACACCAAAACAAATTCCTTGTGTGTCCAATCACACTTGGCCAACAAAGAATTCTATTCAATTCTATTCTAGTTTAATATTAAGGACAGATTAATTAACAAAGGATTTTTATCATCTGAAACTGATTTGTAAGTTTTCTGAAAAGATACAGAGGATTATAGACAATGAAGAAAGAAAGTTTGATATATAAGATACCTATTCTATTCTGTGTAGTAAACTGGACTGGAGGATGAATTTTATTTCAACCGTAACTAGAAAACATTGGTTTGAAGCATGAACTAAAACAGAAATTTTATAAGGCAAATAGATCACTGTACTTTCAGATGTACCACATTTCTTCCCTTTTGTCAAACTCGCATCATCATGGTGGTGGTCACGTGACGAATTGTGACTTCACTAAACCGGTCATGGGCGTGGCCAACGCATGATGCATCTGGCCCACAGACCGCGAGTTTGACACCCCTGATGTATACCATGATACCAAACAAAACACTAGGAAAGCACTCTTTTTCTAATCCAAAAGCAAAATTTGATGTGAGCATTCACTGACTAACAAAAAACAATAACTGGAACAGCCTGGACCTTGTTAGGTTAACTGTTTAAAAACAAAAATGCAATCAATTATTGGGGAGTAGAACAAAGACAATGCCTGATAAAACCCCTTGCTTGCAGGAAAAAAAACAGGATTGATGCAAACATCTTGAAATTATAGTGAAGAAAAAAGAAAAACTAGGGATGAGGAATTTGTTACATTGTTCCCCTAAATATGAGTCATTAGTTTAAAAGATGACACATGAAACCTCCTGTACCTAATTACTTATTTTGTTTCTCAGCCACTTAAGACACCCTGGAAAACTCAAACCCCCGAAAGAGCTCATAGCAGTTTGTTATATCCTTGGAATATCACATTAACAAGAGGTCATCTTGCTCTTGAACACAAGTGCTTGCAGAACAGGTACGTGTTTGGTGACTAAAGGCATCACTGATTTGGAAGGAACTATTTCAAAACAATCCCAAACTGTCTGGCAAATTATGATCCTTTTGTTATGTGCGGGTGCTGGAAGTTGGATTGAAGTTGGATTGAAGAAGTTGAATTGAAGAGATTAAGAACTTGACTTCTGATTTTGCAGAAGACAACCTGAATGGAAACTAAGCTCAAATCATAACAATGGTAAAAATGGCCTATTAAACGCAGATTTTTCAAAGTATAAGTTCATGGAGGGTACAATAATCACATGCAGAAAATCATGCTCAAAACTTATTGACATTTTGAGTTTGTATTGCACACCACCAAATTTCTTCAGCACTAAAAGATTTAAATAGTAACAATTTTACCTCTTTTGTTTATCAGGTCATGTAATTATTGCTACTATAAATATAAAGAATCAGAGGTTGTTGAAAACAAATAGCATCAAGCTTCCTTTTGCTGCTCTATATGTGTTTCAAATATGGTACTTCACTTGGAGTAAGCCAAACCTCTATAGAGGCTAAGGCATGGATTATCATGTTTATTTTATGGTAGACCATTTAGATGTACATTATTATTTCCATTCAAATTGGATCTTTTTATGTGTAAATTGGCCAGATTTGGTCTGTCCTCCAGTTGTTTAGTCTCTGGGAGACAATAAAACAACAATTCATGATGCAGACCAATACTGATGATATATATGCCACCAGCCAGGCCCCCATTGAACGCCATTTTCTTATTTTTATTCTCTGGAATATCAGAAATTAAGGGGGGCATTTTCATTGATTGCATTGCCAACAGCAGTAATGGAAGAACATTTTGCTGAAAATAATAATGAACAATCTCATCTGCCCTTACAGGTTTGATCAAGTAGAGTCCATGACTTTCTATTGTGTTCTCACTACAATGACAGCCAACAGAAACAGAAAAGTGATGGCAGAAAAAGACCTAGAGGTTCATCTAATCTGCCCTTTTAGTTTTTTGTTGTTGCTGCTGCTGCTGTTTGTTTACTTGTAATTTATTTATTATTTTAATTATTTGTTTATTTATTTTTTTGTCAGATGATGGACATGTGTTTATCCCAAGCATGTTTAAACTTGGTTACTGATTATTGACCCACTACATCTGCTGGAAATTTGTTCCAACCTTCCACCACACATTCTGTGACTTTCTAACTTTCTAACACTTCTTTTGAACTTCCCTCCTGTCAATTTGAGGTTTCTCCCCGTGTTTTTTATTTTTGCTTAAATATTGAAAATACTGTCTTCCAGAAACTTATTCACATTTACAATAAAATTAAATATTTCAGTCATGTACACAATTTCCTTTCTGACCTTCACGCTGTATACATTCAGTTCCTCCAATCTCTCCTTATATGTTTTGTCCCTCAGACCTTGCACCATTTTTCTCAACCATCACTGGACTCACTCAATCACACACACATACACACGTGTGTGTATGTGTGTGTTTATGTGTATGTGTGTGTGTGTGTGTGTGTGTGTGTATTCTGCTCACATTGCCAAGAGTTTGATTCCTTCAATCCTGACCTGGTCAAGGTTGACTCAGCCTTCCATCCTTCCCAGGTTGGTAAAATGAGGACGCAGATTGTTGGGGGCAATATGCTGACTCTGTAAAGCTCTTAGAGAGGGCTGTAAAAGCACTGTGAAGCGGTGTATAAGTCTAAGTGCTATTGCTGTTGCTAAATTGGGTCTGACTAAATGCTATAGAGTGGGCTAAAGGTCTCCCTTTTCTTGCTGATGATCCCTCTAATGAAGCATCCCAGTATTCTGTTTGCTTTCACAACTGCTAGCTACACCGCTTACTCATTTTGCAGTGATTTGCTATGAGCACACCTTTCTTCTGTTATTCTGTCTAACACTGTACTCCCCCCCCCCGACACAATACTGTACCCTGCCAGAGGATCTTTTTTCTTCTAAGTGCATGATCTTACATTTAGAAACATTGAACTTCAGTTTCTACAGTTTGAGCCAATTTTCCAGAAATGCCAAATCATTTGCACACCTTTATGTCATCGGCATAAAACAACCTTCTGTTATATCGCTTACAAATACACTGAACAGAATAGAACCTAGGACTGAGATGTATACCACCTGTGACTAGTCTCTGTTTAAAACATGTCCCATTAACAATCACTCACTGGGATCTATTCCTGAGCTAACTTCCTATCTACTGAACTACCCAGGGGTTAAGTCCTAGCCTGTACAACCGTTTTATTCACATAATGAACTCATTATGCAGCGTTCAGATCTACTGAATTCTCTGGGTGCACCTATGACATTTTTTAATGTATTTTAATTGTCAGAAGATTAAACGCCACACCTACAGAATTGGTAAATTTTGTGCAACAGTTTAATGACTGCTTTGATTTATTTACAGGACTGAATTTGTACACAGATGTCCATAGTAATATCATTAAATGAAATGTTAAGAAAGTGATTTTTTAATGTTATAGCAATCTTAGAAAGTCATAGTTTATAACCAGTGAGAAAGGTACAGCATAGTAATATCATAGTAATATGTGCCAGAATCTTAAGTGGATAGAGATGGTGGATTCTGCCAATTATCTGGGCAATTCTCTGCCAGCAGGGGATATAAAGTGCCTACTCTCTGACATAAAATTGTGTCTTTCTTTATAGAGTCAAAAGTGATTGTAATGATTCACAGCTATCATCTTTGATAGCAATGAATCTAGATAAGTTCTTCAACTCTGAATACCTCTTCTGGTAACATTAAATCAATATAGCATTGAACTGTGCAGTTTTGCATATTCTTTCTTCCTTTGTTCATAATTGCTCTTATAGAACTCAAACTTCTGGAAGAACATTTGTCAGAGGAAAAAAATCAACAATTTTACTATTAATATTAATACAATAGTTGTGGAAGAAAAAATACTTATACCTGAAGGTATTTCAGAACACAGAGAAATGGTCTTCTGATTCTTCAATATAAGCCTGTCAATCTTACACATGAATTAATTCTATTGCTTTTAAAGAAGAAATGCTCGATTTTTGTCTTTGGAAATTTTAAAAAACTA